CGGATGCTTCATTTGTCAAAGTTTGACATTCAAATAATCACCAACAACTTACGGAGTTACGACCCGACCACCATGCTGAAAGAGCTACGAAAGCCCATTTAGAATTACGCTGGTATCGCGCTTCTGAACCAAAGATGCGTACGATTCGGTCGCGCATAGGACTTGGCGTTGCACGATGCAACCTGGTAGCAGGCGCAGTCTATTCATGCCGTGAGTGCAATGCCTGGAAAAAACTAGGCGAGACTGTTCTGCCTTCGATAAGTCGCCTTGTCAAGTTCAACGAGGAACTCGAGTACGCTTTGATGTTCTACAAGCAACATCTTGCGTTTCACACCATTGCCCGATGCATTCGTTGGGCTTCAGGCTGAGAGATTGCCGACGAGACGATGCACGCGGCACTAGACGCCCATCGCAACTGCTGGATGCAGCGCGGTCCGGCCACAGCGTTGTATTCCGACGGCGAAGGCGCTTTGAGCAATCGTATTGCCAAAATTGCTCTGAAGTTTTAAAGGCGCAGAACTTCGCATTCGTGCGCGAGGCCAGCATGCCGCCGCCATCGATGCACGCAGCGGCATCTTCAGGCTCGCCTGTCATGTCATGGAAGAACGAGAACGGCACAACATACCATTGGTTTTGATACGATTACCGCACGAAGGCCCATTTATTTGCAATTCAGCTACGTTCTACAACGGGGCATCTCCACATCGAGCGCTGCGCGGACGACAGCCAGCCTGCTTACCATACCTACTGGCACTGGACCCCCAACAGGAGACGGAAACGCGCGATCACAACCGAGGACAAATAATCCGAGAAATAAGCATTGAGGCCATCACACAAGCCACTACAGTAGCCAAAACCAATAGAGTCCTGCGCACAAAGACGGCAGCAGCGGGACGCCACAATTATCGGCCAGGGGATCTCGTGGACTACCACCGTCCGACCACTGCCAAAGACGATTGGGGCGGATCGAGCGGACCATGCCCCATCGCCCGTAACTACCCTGACTGTGGTCAGGCAGTTGGACGGGTCGTCGGTCGGGAAGTCCTGGCATAATACCCATACTTACGACACACATTAGATATTGAAGTATGAATGGACCGCGAGATCGGCCCGGATACTACGGCAATGCGAACGGTAGTGGCCTTTTTTCGCGAGTTTGCCTCCGGGGAAACTTGCTAAGGTCTTTGGCTACCTGCCGACCGAGCAAGGAAACTCGCGGATGACTACAGCGAGCCAGCTCTCGCCCAAAGTACACTTAGCCTTGCAGTTCCTCATCGGAAACGATGTCAGGATAGAAACGTTGTAACTGTTCGTTTGGCAAAAAGCATCCACGGGCTACTGGCAGCGCCCTGCGCTGATAGCTGCACCCTGGGACAGCGACGTTGCACGATGGGTTTCGCTACTACGGGTCAGAAGGTACCGCTCGCAATATTTATGACATCACTGGCACCGCGCATGCGCGAATCATTCAGTGCTTAAATTCATCGAGACCTTGAGCAGGCCTTGACGAGGGCCCCTCAAAGTTTGACGACCCGGCGGACGCGCCAGCGACAAGCGGCCACGCACAAGGGGAGGACAGACCTCCAGTGCTGGCCGCCCTTGACGGCTGACCACCGACGATGACTGAAGAATCAGAAACATATCTGGAAGCACATATCATGGACACGAGGCATGTAGAGCTCCAAGAGGAAACGGACCTACTCGAGACCCCCATCACGGGAGTCTTGGTGTTCGGCACCCACCGAAACGGTCACCGACAACCTCGCGCTCGCGGGTGCGGCCAGCGAAGAGCAAGGACACTTGCAAGAAACCAGTGATGCTCGAAACCACGACGCCGACAAAACCTTTCTGGAACCGATCTCGACTCGGACGACCACGGCCAGCATGTCGCGTTATGCTTTGTTTCTACCATGGCCAAGGTCGTTCCATGAGAGCAGCAATGCGATTCACTACACAGCCACCAAGTGACCACAATGCGCGTATATGTCTCGGCCGCAGCTACAAGGGCTGCGGTTGTCAAGGAAGACGACCTGCTGGCGAGGGCAGAAATACCAGCAAACTGGACAAATAAACCTAATGCTTTGCACACTTGTGTGATAACAAATGCTGCAGGCTGCGAGACATCAAGAATGCTGCCAATACCATGACCTCTAGATACGTGCACAAGTGGAAGTTCGTCAAAAACCGATGAAAGGCGAAATGGGACGAACAATGCGAATGCGCCTTGTTCTTCGCGGCGCCATGGGCGTCGAAGCATTCCACGTAGAAACCTCATCAGGCGCAGCTCGTCGAGCAAGCCAGAGATTGCTCGCCAGCGCGGCCGCGTGCAAGCAACAGCGAGTCATTGCATCAATGGACATCGGGCTTTCTTGAAGGGTCTCACTTGCCGTGGGCTGGCAGATGCCGCTCGTGAGAAAGAGCGCATCGTTTGCTTCGCTCTTCCACCTGGTTCAGCCTCGGCGCTGCGTGCGCTGCCTGGTTTCTCGTCCTCTTGCGATTTAACGCATTGTCTTCAGTGCTTCAAGCCAGGCGCAAACGACGCCCATGGGGCATTCCCATGCAAGCTCGGAGTCATCACGCGAGGTGTCGGGCTGAAGCCCACGACAGATGATGATTAATTTGACAAGCCCAAACCTCCTGGCAGCCATGCACGTCGACGACATCAACATGGCAGGAGTGGAGGACACAATTAACAAGCACGCCACAAATGTAAAAGGCACGTTCTGCGCACGTAAACTGAACAAACACTGTTGCACCAATTGCGCCCTGCGATACACTCAGACCGAGGACGGCCACGTCCAGCTAGAGCGGGATGAATACATCAAACATCTTCGCCCGATACAGCATCCAGACATCACGGGTGATGTAGCGGAGAGAGAAGGCAGCGAAGATCGTGTCCGACACGTTCATCAGTTTAGGTGGTGCTTTGGCGTATGAACTGATCACTCAAATGTGGTTGATGGTAGACGTATTATCCTTGCAACGTGCACAGGAACCCACGAATCTCCACGCGAGCAGACTCCACCGTCGCCTGAGCGGGGGCGAAGGTGTCGAAGTAAGGGGATCTGGCATCCGAGGGGCCAACCTTTCACTGCGTGGACACACGCCCATTGGCAAGGCAGTAGTTCATCTGACTGCACTCTGCAAGTCAGATCGCTCGCAGGTGAGCTTCAGCTACTCAGCTGGGACACTGGCCGCCGCTCATAGTCCGAAGAATTGACGCCTGCCATAGTTGCGCTGCGCGAGCTTAAAGCTGGACCCCTAGCACCTACTCAACTTCAGAGAATCATGGAGTTAGGTGGTCTCAGCATTAAGGCCATCCTTACTATAGATGCTGAGTCGGTCTTTGCATCCTTGTCAAGTAAGGACTTGACGAAGCCGACCGAATGCACCCTGCTGGGGCATATCAGCTGGATAAGACAGACGACGGATCGAGGTATAGTTCATAGCGTACAATTGTGATACACGAGGTATGACCGCTGACGGCCATGCCAAGGGGCTCATTGATCGCGCGTTACTGCTGCAAGTGATGGAAGGAAATCAGCCCTTCAAGTGCGAAGCAAAGGAGTAAGTATAGACCCCATCGAGGCAAGGATGATACAGCGCCGACATTGGGACGCCAAACTCAGGGCCAGCGGATGCCCACGAGGGTGACCACTCACAGGTAAGCGTTCTTGCCCGGGCACGGGCATGTACACCTACAGCGCGGCTATCTTCGCCCGGCCACGGGCGTGGACACTCATTCTTCACAGCTGCCAGGAGTGCCCGGACACGAGCACTACTTCTCTTTCTTGTTAGAGGGGGCTGACCGCTTGGCCCCCTCGCATGCCGCGCGCTTTGACGGCTGGCAGTCGGCCAGTCGCTTCCTTTAATCATCTACGGATGGTCACGCGGTCTCGCCCGTGGCCATCCGTGATTATCTGCGGCTGGTCGCGGCAATCTGTCGCGATCGGCCCTGATGCTCTGCGCTGTTTTTCTGCTACTTGCCTGCGTGCTGCTGGGGAAATTATAAAACTACGTGCCCATCCTTCTTCGTTACCTTATATGCTTAACTAGGACAAGGATATAGCGCGCGGCCCCCCCCCGGGCTTTAAACGAGGTTGAAGGAGAGGCTGCATGGCGAAAGCTATATCCGACGCTGTCTCGGCCCAAGGCAGCGCTGCCCTGTGTGCCAAATTCACAGGACTCTGCGCGCCTCAATCAGGACCACGCAGCGGACCGAAGGCCGCGTCCTTTTATGATCCATCCCCCATTCCCAGGGCTCCGCTCTTACCTCTCGCGTTGCTTGCCATCGAGGGGTGAGTTGTGGGATGCCCAGATACGTCGCCGACGTTATCTTGAGAGTTGGGTTCTCTGCTTATTACCTCATGGTCAAGCCCTGTACCCTTACTTTTCACGGTGGAAGTGTCTTGGTCCAGTGTTTATTCATTTTTGTGCGGACGGTGGCGCGCGGGGTTCAAGAGTCCAGCGGTTGAACCCAGTCCTTCCTTTTTCGGGGGCGGGCGGAAAACCGATTTGTTTTCAACGGTTTCCTACTCCATGCGTCTACACACTTATTCCGACGAACAACGGGTCGGCCCCATATGTTTGCGGCGGTTTTCGGGCCAGGTCGATCTCTGAGGGCCCGTGGGGCCCGAATCCGGGCGAAAACGCCCAACGTGAAAACATTGCGACTCACGTCGGGCGACACAAAGACCAGGATGCAACGTTTTCGGGGCGGTTTGGGGCGCTCTCTGGAACGGCCGCGGCGCCCGATACATCCTCCAGAACAGAGATCCCCGACGTGTTCCCGTCCGATGTTGTTTTGGCCCTGGCTTCGTCTGAGCACGGGTCTCAGGGAACCTCGAGCCTCAAGCTTCGATCGTCGATCCGCGCGCTCGTCGCCGCGCGCCTTCGATCCTCGAGCCTGGAGCCTGGATCTTCCGCCCGCGCGCCTGTCGCCGCGCGCTCGCCGCCCCAGCGGCCGCGCGAAATTGCGCCCGCCCCGCGCGGCGGTGCAGGCCATGATGGCGAGACACAACGCGGAACTGTGCCGCGAGGCCCCTCGGGCAACGCTGCAGGGGGAGGGGAAGAGGAGGAGGAGGAGGAGGAGGAGGAGGACGAGGAGGAGGAGGAGGAATACGTGGAGGAGGAGCAGCAGGAGCAGGAGGAGCAGGAGCAGGAGCAGGAGCAGGAGCAGGAGCAGGAGCAGGAGCGAGCAGGAACAGCAGGAGCAGCAGGAACAACAGGAGCAGCAGGAGCAGCAGGAGCAGCAGGAGGAGGAGTAAGAGGAGGAGGGCGAGGACGAGAACGAGGACGAGGACGAGGACGAGGACGAGGACGAGGAGGAGGAGGAGGAGGGGGAGGAGGAGGACCGGGAGGAGGAGGAGGAGGAGGACGAGGAGGAGGACGAGGAGGAGGAGGAGGAGGAGGAGGACGAGGAGGAGGAGGACGAGGAGGAGGAGGCGGAGGAGGAAGAGGAAAACGAAGGCGAGGAGGTCCAGACAGAGGGGGAGGACGAGGCGGAGGAGGAGGTGGAGGAGGAGGGGTGCGTTGCTCGAGGGCTGCATAGCCAGATCCGGCCGTCAGGCCGCAACACTCCCCGTCACATGCGCCTCCGCCCGTGGGCTTTTGGGCCATCGCGACTGGGGGGCAGATGGAGTTCCAGCGGGAACCTCTCCCTCAGGCCAGGCTCTTGCGCGCGCCGCCGCCGCCGCCGCCGCCTGCATGCCCCCGCACGTACTGCGCCCACGCCTTCGCAGCCAGGCCCACAAACTTGCACTTCCCCGCCATCTCTTGCAGCTCCAATGTGTCCTCTAGCGCTCCGCGGCAACCGACTGGCCCGCAGGCACCACTGCACGCGTCGCGCAGCCCACACAGCTCCACGCGCTCGCCGAGCAAATGCCTGAGGCCTGCGCCAGACACCGCGGGCGCCCCAAGCATCGTGCCGCATACCTGGCACGCTCGGCTGTCGTAACGCCCGCGCTCTGGCCACCACATCTCTGCAGGCACGCGCGCCGTCACCCGGGCGACTAACCAAACCCGAAAACACTTCCACATATTTGCCCCCGCGGCGCCCAGCGGAACCCCAGATCCAGCGGCGGCCGCAGCGGCAGCAGCTCGCGATGTGGGATCAGGCTCTCCTCACGAAGGGCAGCCAGCTGGAGCCACAACCATGCCTGCTCCTGCGCGCGCAGCTGGAGTCGAGACCCAGTGCCTCCACTGCGACGTCGCCCGCTTCCGCGTCTTCGGGGAGGCACGCGGAGCCTCGCTACGCCGATCGGCGGGCACAGCGGAGCGACTCCGTCGCCTCCGCCGCGTGGTCGAGCCGCGTCGCGCCCCCGACCGGCGGGGAGCCAGCCGCCGCAGGTGCGACCGGATTGGCAGCAGGCAGCGCCAGCAGAAGCGCTCGAGCAAGGGCAGTGCGCTGCAACAGCTTGGCACCCCAGCGCGTTAGCATCTTCGTCTCGGCCAGCGCCCGCGCGAGCCACCCCCGTCCCCAAGGATGCCTGCCCCCCCCAAGCCCAGCAGCAGCTTGGCCGCCTCATACTGCACGGTATTCAAGCGAGCCGTCGCTGTCCGCCAGCCTGGCCCAAACTAAGCCAAAAACTCCGCGCCGTAGAATGCCCCCGCTTGGACCCGAGACGGCAACTGCGCGGCATCCCAAACCCGCGCTGCTCCAACGCCGCCACCAGCTTCTGCGTTCCTTCCCGCAACCGCGCGCACACCGGCCCGATGAGGGCGAGGAACGCGAGGTCGCTGTTCACCGCCACCCCGGGGTGGCGGTGAACAGCGGGGTGGACATGCTGGGGGTACCCCCAGCATGTCCAAGCAGTCAGCGGAGGAGGGAACCTCGCCCGACACGGTCCCGAAACCGACGCCCCCCTGCAGTTGAGTCGCCGTGCTCACCGCCATCACCGTCGGCCGCTTTTTGCCTCCCTGGAAACAGTGCTGCAAGAGCTGATAAAACCGCGTGAGGCCCTTGTTTGCCGCTGCCATGCCAGCCTGAAAGGACTGGAAAGCAAAGGAATCGTCAACGAATTGCACGATGAGCAGCGCGTGCCGCGCGAGTGCATCGAGAGAGAGAGAGATAGAGAGAGAGAGAGGAGGGAAGGAGCGAGCGAGCGGGAGGGAGGGAGGGAAGGAGGATAACGGGAGGAGGAGGGGGGCGAGGACGGAAGAGGAAGACAGGGCGCGAGAGCTCCGGCAGGATATTTGGAGCGACGCGGACCGTCTGCCGGTTACCCACGGGCGCCCTCGTCAGCCCCCCCATGGTCATCGACCCTCCCTTCGTGTCCCGGGCTCCAGAGGAGGAGAAGGAGAAGGAAAAGGAGAAGGGCTCAATGGTCCCCTCCCTGAGCTGGTCCCCCCCCTGACCTTCCCCCCCCCCCTCAAGGAGACGCTGTGGGACGCGGCGGCCAACGGGAGCCTCCGCGAAGCTCCTACACCTTAGGCGATGGTTAAGAAAACTCAAGTTTTCGGCCAGAGTCTCGATTATTCTTAATGTTTCAATGTAAGTCCTAAGATTTGAATAGAAATGTTGAGTTTTTTATTCAAATTCTGAGACTCTGAGTTTCTTAACCCATGATTTCTTAAGCATTTCGCAAAGTGTACAGTAGCTTCGCGGCGGGTCCTCCGTCATCTTCCCAGGGGCAACGCTGCAGGAGGAGGAGGAGGACCAGTGGAAACCCAAGAGTCATCAACGATGTTGGAATTAACCCTCCCTCCAAACTCCCTCTTCATAGGCCGGCACAACGGTTCATTTCGATTGAGGGAACTGCTTCGTTTGAAGACAATGGTTTAAGGATCCTGCAGCATGTCATAACATTGTTCTCAGGATGTCGACGCCACGTATCAACTTGACTGCTGCGTCTTGACGGTCCGGAATCGTACCATAGCGTTGTTCTTGGGACTTCAATATCGCGAATTCACAGAATTGTAACACCCGCCTAATCCTGAATCCTTCCAAAACACAACTTCTGGTACGTTGATCATGGGATTCCGTGAAATTCTTGCAATTTTTGAAAACGAATGTGCGCGGCGCTAAGGCGAGAGCCACATTTTGAAAAGGAACCGCCCTCAATCCGTGAAGCCCTTGCAAATGCTCAAAACGAATGTGCGCGGCGCTAATGCGACGAGAGCCACATTTTGAAAGCCACCCGCTTTCAATCCGTACGAATGCTCGCGGCCCTGAGGTCAGAGCCACATTTTGAAAAGGAACCGCCTTCAATCCGTGAAACCCTTGCAAATATTGAAAACGAATGCGCGCGGCGCTAAGGCGAGAGCCACATTTTGGAAATGACCCGCCCTCCATCTGCGCACTTGTTGCCACATTTTAAGCATCAGGGTCATAAGCGGTGAGGAAGTCTGAGGCGAAATGCCCGGCCCGCCCTAAAAACTGGCCTCGGGGTGCGACAGGGAGAAGTTCTCCAAAGGGAAAGGCATGGAGGAGGACGAGGAGGAGGAGGAGGAGGAAAGAGGAAGGATGAAGGAGGACGGACTCGGAGGAAGAGGATGCAAAAAGAGGGAAAATAAGACACATGTATTCATCATCGTAACTATAATCGTAACAACGGTAATATTCATACGAATAAGAAGAAGCCGAAGAAGACGAAACATAATCATCTGACTGGTCCACCACGGGGGGGCATCATATCAAGGATCTGCGGCGTCGCTGACATCAGCACCTCACCGTCGTTATCGTCATCACCATCACCATGACCATCATCGCAATCATCGTCATTACCATCATCATCATCATCACCATCATCACCATCATCATCATCACCATCATCATCATCATCCACAGCGGTTTCGGCTCTCGGACGCGAGTAGATCGTTTTTCGCGCTCCCCCCAAACCGCGAGCGTGGTGCCGCTGCCTCTGGCGCGGGTTCAGATGTCTGGAGAGTCTGAGTCAGAGGCGGGCCTGGTTGGGCGTGGTCGTAGGCTGCGGCCTGCGGCTGAGCGTTGGTACTGGATCGTGGGGAGCCTGTTCAGGATCCGGCGTCTTCAACGAATCTGGGGACACCTTGGACAGTTCTTGCAGATCGTGGCAGCTACGACTCTACGAGAGCGATTTCGAAAGCTGCTACCCCCTGAGAAGCAGAAGAAGAATAAGTAATGGCGACTCAGCGTGCCGCTTGTGCTGCGAGCGCGGCGAGCTTCGGAAATCCAGGTTGGCGGAAGCGGGCAATGGCTTCCAGTTGCCTCTGGCGCGGGGAACGCTGCCTCTGGCGCGGGCGGGGGGCCGCCGCGACGACGAGGAGACGGCTCCCGAAGAGCCACGCAGCAAGAATATGAAGAACCGCACTGGGATCGTCGACTGATCCAGGCTGCCTCTGGTGCTGATATCTTTTCACGCAGCAATGGCTTGCAGGCTGCCTCTGGCGCTTCCTTCGTTCGGCGCAGGGTTCTCCCGACTAGGGCTCCGTACTAGGTGCTCTGGACGGCACCGCTGGTGCGCAGCGTGCCGCGGAAAAAAACAACAACAACAAAAACGCATGCTCTGCCGCTGCTGCCGGGTGCTGGTACTGCTGCTGCTCCGCCTCCTCCAGCTGCTGCTCCTGTTGTTGCTGCTGCTCTTCCTCCTGCAAGCCGCTGCCCCCGCTGCCGCTGCGAGCAGCAGGAGAGGCTGGGGGAGCACGGCGCTGGGGGAAGCGCGAGGGGAAGCAGGTCCCCCCTGGGTTCGCTCAGAGGCTCAACCACGCGAGGTTTTCGCAATACCAATAGCCCGCGACTCCAAGGGTTGCCGAGCCAACCGCGTGCGCACCCGTACGTCGCGACGACGAGGTTGCGCCAGTGGTTGGCTCGGCAACCCTTGGAGTCGCGGGGCACTGGCAATGCCAGAACCTCGCGTGGTTGAGCCTCTGCGCGAACCCAACTGACCAAGAGGCACCTGCTCTGACTCGCGTTTCCCCCAGTGCCGTACTCCTCCCGCCTCTCCTGCTGCCGCTGCTCTTGCTGCTCCTCCGCCTCCTCCAGCCTCTCCTCCTGCTGCTCCTTCTCCTCCGCCCTCGTGCTCCTCCGCCTCCCCCAGTCTCTCCTGCTGCTGCTTTTTCT